CCCTCTTTACATGTCCCCTCCCTGCACCCCTTCTGTGGCTGAAGGACCACATCTTCAAATTCAAGTATATGCTTAGAGTCAAGGCCATAGACAGGAACAAGCTCCCTCTCCATCCAGCCTGAGACCTGTCTTCCCAAGTCCACAGCCTCCTCTGCTGGGACTGATTCACATGTGGTGCTTACTCCCTTCGGGGAAGATCCTGTAGATCCTCCCTCTGATTCCCCGTGACACACACACACACACACACACACACACACACACACACACAAATTTTAAAATCTCTACATAGCAGGAGAATTGTCTTACATTCAAAGCCCTTTGGATGACTGCTCTACCAGTTCTGACTCATTTCCAACAGAAGGGGCCTCCCCATAAGTAATAAATAGGGAGAACAGAATTCCTTTTGAAGGAAGGGCAGAAATTTAGTGAAGTACAGGCCCCTCGTTGTCTAGAAAGGAAACTGAGGCCCCGAAAGGAAACGCGATTTCCCTAATGTTGGCTAGGTGGCAAAGGTGGGGCTCTGGTCCCCAGCCCGTTCCTCTTCACAACACTGGTCGTGCTGTGCAGCAGAGGACTGAGACCGTCCTTTTATAAACGTGAACTCAAATAGGCAGCAGGTTCCAACAAGGGACGAACAGTCCTGGATCCCCAGTGAATCCCCAGTGACAATCCTGGATGAAGGGCTCTGCCCACATGACGTAACCGCAGAGGGAGACCTTGCAGGGGTTCCCCAGTGCTCGCCAGCCCCATCTCCCAAACGGCACTGCAGCTAATCCCTCTCTCCGGCCTCACTCCAGTCGACCCACTCACCACCATTTCATCACCCAAATCGACTCCTGCCCTAAGAATAAAGTCTCAGGTCTTCAGCAGGACCATAAGAGTCTGTGCCTTAGTTTTATCTTGCTTTTCCAACTGCTGGCTCTGCCTAGAAACCTTTCTCCCCTTCCACCTACACCAGTGGTTCTCAGACAGGGGTGATTTTACTCCTTAGGAAACATTCGGCACTGTCTGGAGACACCTCGTTGGTTGTCACACTGGCATCTAGCGGGCGGACGCCAGGGACATCGCTAAACAGCCTACAGTGCACAGGACATCCCCCATAACAAAAAGTATCCAGCCCTAAATGTTTATAGCTGAGGTTGAGAAACCATCTCTGGAACTCACTTGAAATACCACTTCTTCCAAGAAGCCCTCCCATGGCACTTTATACTGGTTGAGGGCTCTTCCCTCCACATATCCCTGCTCCTTCACAGCTCTTGGCACCGGGGAGTATCTACAATAATGATGTAACACTTGCCTTCCTCCCCCCGCCAGTCCATCAGCTCCGGGATGGAGTGTTTGGTTCATCGCCTCATCCCAGTGCCCTGTAAGGTGCCCAGTGCAGTTTGGCATCACTGTTTGCCTTGATGCCTGTGCAACACAGACAAAGGCAGTTTGTACAGGTGACCTGTCCTCTACCAGGGGCTGTGTGGGCTTCCAAAGGCTTCAAAGGCAGACCCGCAGGCACTCATGGTCTTGGGAGCCTGGCAGAAGTCGGTGGATATCATAGTTCTACCACCTCATAGCTGAGTAGCCTTTAGCAGGTTACTCAATTTCTATGGAACTGGGTTTCGTCATCCGTAAAACAAACAAACATAAAAATAGAACCTGTTTCATGGAACTCCCGTGAAGATTAAAAGACACAGTGCATGCAAGGTATCGAGGGCCACCTCTAACACAGGGTCAGGGAGTAAAGCTGAGAGGAGGGCACCGCAGTGGCACAGCCTGGCCTGCTCCAAGTGTCCACTGCAGCCCCCAGACCCTGAGTAATGGACACAAGGACAGGGAAGGAACGTCACAAAACGGCTGGTCAACCTTTCCTTCTTAACTGTCTCAGCTCTAAAGTGTCTCAGATCTTAAAAATACCCCAGCTTATGTATCTTGTGGGCTTGTTACATGGATCCCAGGTAGCTCCCCAGCCACACTACAGTGGCGCCTAAAATTGCCTGTATGTAGGGCTGAGGGTAGCTTTCCAGATTCTCTCTTACCCCCTCCACATCAGACCCTCTTAAGAGCTCTGGCCTGGCACCTCTGGCACCTCTGGCAGCCCCAGTTCCTTAGCTGGACGGCAGCCCATTTGGACCCCAGCGAACTCTGGATTTCTCTGTCTTCCCCGGCTCTGCCCCTGGTGCCAGCAGGGGCTCCACACCCTGGAACCTGCCTGGCCCCACCTCCCACCAGGTCTGAACCCTGGACCACAGCCAAGTATCACAGTTCCCACCAGATCTGTAGGGGAATTCGAGACATTTTCACCAGATGAGTCCCAGAAATTGATGGCTGTCTGTTCATTCTGGCCTGGGGGAGGAGGGATCTTTTCTGTTTCCAGGCTGCTTTGCTCCCCCAGCCCCCACAATTTTAGATGTCCAAAAACTGGTGTTTTTTTTTAAACGAAGGGCCGTATCCCAGACCGCTGAGGTCAGCAAACAGAAGTGTCTGTTTGTAGGTGGAGGGCTGGACGGGAAGAGGCTGAGATCATGTCAGGGGAGCAGGGGAAGCTACAGACAGGAAATCCTCCAGCGCTGGGAACGCTGTTGAAGCCCAGTCCCTCACAGGTAGCAGCCAGAGGTTCACACACAGGAACCTCACCCCTCCCAGCCTGCAGAGCTCTCTCAGCACCTGGGCAAACCGGTGTGGGGAGAGGGGTGTGGGGAGAGGGGGCAGGAGCGAGGGGGGCTGGCGGCAACCGCTCCGCAGGGATAGTCCCCTGGCGTGCCAGCAGATAGAGACGTCTGTGACTGCAGCCGCCCCGCCCAGGCCCCCGGGGGTCAGCAGCCAGTTGCTTCAGCTGCTTTGGTGGACCGTTTGGCTCTCTGCCCCGTGGGCAGTGAAACCTGACAGGTCAGTTTCTAGGCCTGGGCCCATTCTCTTCCACTTCCTGGTTCTCACACCTTCAGCTGGAAAAACTTTGGTTCACCTCCCCCTCACACTGAAAAAGGATGTGGTTTTGTTTTGTTTTGGTTTGGTTTGGTTTGGTTTGGTTTGGTTTGGTTTGGTTTGGTCCACAATGCCAAATGAAAGGCCTGGCTTCCTAATTAGCCATTTTGATCCCTGGGAAGTTACTTAAGGGATCAAAACAGCTGAAGTTAGACCCCTGAAGATGAAAATCAGCGCACAGGGAACCCCGGGCACAGAAGAGCAGCTCCAGCACTTCCCCCGCCCCACCCAGCCAGGTCTTGGCAGGAATGAACCGCTGTGCCTCCTAAATCTGTTTTTGTTCGCTTAGGAGAAGCCGACCTGTGCCTCCAACACAGTCCATGCTCTTAGTCCATGCCTCCTCGGTATCGGAGTGACTGAGTAGAGGTGGAGGTAGTAGGTCAGCAGCGCTGGGGTGAGGGTGAGGCAAGTGAGGATAGTAGGGCTCCACGTTTTGGGAGGCGCTCCCTCTCCAGGCTCATACAAGCTTCCTCACCCTGGTCCCTGTCCTGGGGCTGATCAGTGAGAGAAAGCTTCCAGGGCACATGGCTGACTGTGGAACAGAAAGCAGCGCCCCCACAGGTACCCACCAGCCTTCACTTCCTCCTGTCCACAGGGGCGCCTGTATGGGGCGGGGCAGTAGCCCCTCAGGAGGCCCCTGCTCCCAGGAACTGCAGAGACAGCTGTCCCTGCAGGGGTGCCGGGGCTGAAGGGAATCATAATTATATTAAATAACACTTTGGGTGCTTACTATGTGCCAAGCCCTGTGCTAAATACTTTATGACCATTATTTTATATAATCCTCTCAACAAGTCAATAAAGAACTTGGGCTCTGGAGTCCGACAGCAGGGATTTAAATCTCACTCTTGCCACTTTCCTGATGTGTGACCTTGGGCAATCAGTCAACCTCTCTGAGCCTCAGCTTCCTCATCTGACAAGTGGGAATAATAATAGGACCTGCATCATAGTGGTCCAAGGACTATATCAGGTAATGCAAGTAAAGTAGTAAGACAAGCATCTGGCACAGGGTAAGCACTAGACCAATATTAGGATTGTGATTGCCTCTTGTAGCTTATTCCTAGGGTCGCCACAACAAATGTCTCACAAATGGTGGCTTAAACAGTAGAAATTTATTGCCTCACACTTCTGGAAGCTAGGAGTCCAAGATCAAGGTGTTGGTAGGGCTGGCTCCCTTCCGTGAGCTGTAAGGGAGAATATATCCCATTCTTCTCTCCTAGTTCCTGGAGTTTGTTGGCTTGTAGATGTCTCCCTTTCCTCTGTGTGTCTGTCTCAGTGTCCAAACTGCCCCTTTGTCTTAGTCCATTTTTGGCTGCTGTAGCAGAAATCCCATAGACTGCGTGGCTCAGACAACAACCCCTTATTTATCACAGTTCTGGAGAAGTCTGAGATCAAAACACAGACAGCAGACTTGGTATCTGGTGAGGACCTGCTTCCTGGGTCTTAGATGGCTGTCTTCTCACCGTGTCCTCGCAAGGCAGAAGGGGTGAAGGAGCTCTCTGAGGTCTCTTTTGTAAGAGCACCAATCACAGCCATGAAAACCCCACCATCACACCTTAGTCACCTCCCAAAGGCTTCACCTCCAAGTTGGGAATTAGTTTTCAACATGATTTTGGGGGCGGGGACATAAACATTCAGCCTATAGCATCCTTTTCATAAGGACATCAGTAATGTTGCATTAGAACCCACTCTAATGGCCTCTTTAACTTGATCACTTTTGTAAATACCCTATTTCCAAACTCAGTCACATTTTGAGGTCCTGGGGGTTCAGAATCCAACACATCTTGTTGGGTGGGGAGGCACAATTCAACCCATAAGACTAAGTAACTTGTTCAGGTCATGCAGCTAGCAGCTGATGAAACTGGGTCCCAGAACCCAGGATTATTTGATGACATAGTTCATGGCATGAACCCCCATGTAAAGCCCCAACAGTCCTAACTCTTCTCTGGATGAGAAGAGGACCAAAGAGAGGCATCCAGCACCGACTGTTGTGTGTTGATGGCATTTTCCCTTCTTTCTGTCTTCTATAGCCTGCCTGCTCCAGGCTGAACTGGTAAACTATGAACGAGTCAAGGAGTATTGCCTCAAAGTCCTGAAGAAGGAAGGGGAGAACTTCAAAGCCCTTTATCGGTCTGGCGTGGCCTTCTACCACCTTGGGGACTATGACAAAGCACTCTACTACCTGAAAGAAGCGAGGACCCGACAGCCAACAGGTAAAGCAGAAATCGATGTTCTCTAGTTGTCAGCTCCCGCTGGCAGGTCCAGGAGCTTTCGTAATGAGATGGACAGCTTTCATGGTGCAGGGCCAGGCAGGTGCAGAAATGGCAAACTAGAGGTCAGGTGGGTGTGAGGACCTGGAAAGAGGAGAGCAAACAGTCTGTGTACTTGCCTGGGGCCTGGGTTCCAGGAGCTTGGGCACTGCTTTTCTTCAGATACAATATGGAAAAGGCAAAGGTGTCTCTTCCAACCCAGAATCTAGCTTTCTTCCCTTGTTCAGTAAATCCATATTGAATTATTACAATGTGCCAAAATTTGTGCCAGGCACCAGGGATGTGGATGAGAAAATGGTACTCATGCTTTTGAGGAGCTCACAGAGTTGGCAAGACATAATACAAAGGAATGATTTTGGTGCTAAGCCCAGTATCTTCCAGGAAGCATGCTCTGGCTTCCCTAATCAGATCCCATTCCTTAGAGCACCCATTAAGCAGTGCCATTTGCTTAAATTCCTATCCACTAGCTCGGCCATTCATTCACTCCACAGATACTTATTAAGCAGTTACGATGGCTCAGGAGCTACTCTAGGTGCTGGGTAGATATCAGTGAACAAAACAAAGTTGCTACTTTCAAGGAGTTTATGTTATAATGGAGAAAGATGGACAGTAAGCAAATGGACAAATAGATAATGTAATATTTAGTAGTGTTAAGTGCTATGAAGGAAATAAAGCAGAGTAAAAGGATCAAGAGTAAATGGGGTGATATTGTAGCCCTGGAGCTAAGAAAGAGCCTCTCTCAAGAGGCAACATTTCAACAATGACTTTGACTTAATGTTGCCATTGTTGTTCATGTGGCCGATTTCTTTTAATGTGCTTCTCCTTTAAGGACTTAGGATCAATTTGCAAATATCCAAACATATACTTTTTTCTTTACTTTTGTCAGAACACCAATAGCTTTACTTTTTAAAACATTTTATTTATTTATTTTTATGGGAGGAGGAGGGAGAAAGAGAAGGAGAGAAACACTGATGGTTGCCTCTCATGCACCTCCAAATGGGGACCCGGCCCACAACCCAGGCTTGTGCCCTGACTGGGAATTGAACTGGCAACCTTTCAGTTTGTAGGCTGGCACTCAACCCACTGAGCTATACCAGCCAGGCCTATTTTTATGTATTGATTAGTTCTCTATATATTGATTGTGTTCCCCCAACTGTACTGTAACTCACTAGAGGATTAAGATCTGGATTCATTCAACAGAATTTTCTTGAACACCTACTGCATATCAGCACCGTTCTGGATGCCACACCCCTGGCATTTTTCTCATATGCTATAGCATTCACTTCTACTTCGGGAAGTAAACGTCCCGGGCAGCCTGCTGCTCTTATGTGCTGGTATGTGCAGCGCTAGGCAGCTATTCTATGTGACACCCTGCTCCCCAGTTTAAGAACTGGGGTTGGGGGATAATTCCCTGGCTCAAGGTGAGGTGATCCACTCCTCTTATGAGGACAAAAAGAAGACAATGAGGCAAAGTCATTTTAAACAATTCTGTTTTAAAAAATTACATTCAATTAATATTCATTCGTCATTAGATTAAGCACTTTTAGATGAACCTATTTTGGTCCTCACAGCCATTTCATGAGAAAGGTGTCATGCCCCCCAGGAGAGGCAGGCTTTGGAGTCAGATGCACCATATACTGTGTGTCTCCTTGGGTGACTTCCTGAACCTCCCCAGGGCCCACTTTTCCCTTTCATCACAGTGAGGATGATGCCACATACCTTGTGGGATTATAATGAGGATTAAACGACATAATGAAGGTTAAAAACACAGCACATAGTAGGCATTCAAAAATGGAAGCTGTTTCTTGCAGACAAGACATGAGGCTCAGAGAAGCTGGTAACGTGCCTGGGGTTAAACTCCACACAGAGCCTCAACTTAACTGTGCTGACTCAGTACCACTGGCATATGCTGTTTCATAGAAATAGAGGGAGAAATCCCTCCTCTTCTCCTCTCCTTGCCATCTGTCCCTGGGTCAGGGTGACCCGTCCACACTTGCTGGGGGAGGCTGTGTCAGGAATGCCGACATCCTGGTTGCCCTCTCAGCCACCGTGGACCTTGGCCAAGTGAGTGTGGCCTGTGCATAATCTGCAGACACAGCTGTGGATGGGTTCTGTGTACACCCAAGGGTTCCCCTCACCGAGTGTCCCCTAAGGAGTGTTTCTCTCTTCACAGACACCAACGTGATTCGGTACATCCAGCTGACAGAGATGAAGCTCAGCAGATGCTCCCAGAGAGAGAAGGAAGCCATGTAACGGCAATACCTGTCTAGAGCTGCCCCTGCAGTGAACCTGGACTTCCCAGCATCCCCTGGTGGAGAGCCCCTCCCTGGCTCCTGGTCCTTTCTCCCCACTTCTCCCGTCAGACCCCCTCCCACCTCTTCCTCCTGTTGCCCCTCAACTCGCCGTCTACTCCCAGTGTGAAAAAAGGAGGTGCAAATTTGTAATCGAGTGGGTTGCCCTGACAATGGAGATACCCTCTTCTGTAGTAGGTCAGCCACTGAGAGGGACCTAATTTCTGCAGGGACAGCTGGGGAGGACTCTCACGGGCCAGGAATGCCTGTGCTTCTGACGGAGACAGAACCTGGCAGGTGTACCATTCCAAAGGCAGCAGGCAAGAAGCGCATAGCTGGACCCTCCACACACTTCTGACAGACCAGAGCATCTCAAGGCAACTGTGACAAATCCAGGGATGAGACAATCACCACAAGCATTAGCTAAGCCAGGCGAGAGGCTGTGAATGTGTACACTGGATTTCCCCACCCCTACCCACGGCAACCTCAGCCCCTGCCTCCCTCCTTCCCTTGGCTTGTGCTTTCTTCTCTCCCCCTAGGGGATCTGAGACTCTGCCAGGATTCACATGCCATTGAAGCCCACTCTCGGTGCCCTCTGGTGACTACACATACCATTCTCCCATCCCCCCACTCCAGCAGGCAGCCACGACAGCAGAAGGGCAGGGTAAAGTGGGCCAAGGGTTGACCACATAGGTGATGGGGGGGAGGGAGAGAGGACGTTTAAGGGAGAGAGCATTGTATAGACTGGGGGACTGAACTGTGGTCTAATTAAGTGTAAATAAAAATAAATTAACAGGCAGCAGTTCCTGTCATTTCTGTTGGAAGCAGCCCACTCCCCCATTTTCACTCCCTCCCCCAACTCACTCAGAGCTACTTACAGCCAGGCAGGATGGGGCTTCCCCCAAAGCAATGGACCGTTTGTCCAGCAGTATAGAATGCTGGCTGCCGCCTTTGTGCTTTCAGCGTAGGCTGGGGTTGGGGAGACTGCCCAGGGACTTGGCTTTGTGGGACTTCGTGGGACTTGTACAGCCTCCTTTTGATGACATGAGCTGGACTCAATATCTGGCACAGAGAATGTGTTCAACAAATATTTGTTGAATGAATAAGTGATGACTGCAGACTGGCTCTCCTGCCTTAAACTAATCTTATCCCAGCCTAGTCTCCTGATAGCTATGCTCTTTATGCCATGTTGCTTCAGTCAACTAAGAAACATTTCCTGAGGGCTTATCGATTGCCTGCCATTGTGCAGTGTGCTGGGGGACACAGGATATCGTCCCAGTCTTAAAGGAGACGGAGGAGTTGAGAAAGACTCATGTGAGATGATTACCAATGACACCTTTAATTTATATGATGCTTTAAATTTTTCAAAGCACTTTCATGTATTTTTTGTGTGATTAGTGAAAGAGACAGTATTGTACAATTAAAATATATACAGATGCAATAATGTTAATAGTTAGCGTTTATTAAATGCACTACCCTCAGATCTTTACATGTATAATCTCATTTCTTTCATGCAGTTCTCCTATGAGATAGCATTTCTATTTGATGGATAAGAAAACTGAAAACCAGAAAAATTAACTCTCCCAAGGTTGCATGGCCTTAAGCAGAATAGCTAGGGTTTGAACCAGGTCTGTCTGACTCCAGAGCTCTAGCTATGAACTAGACTATAGTTGCTGCTCTCCAAAGTATATTGAGCAGTTACAACCATTCAAGAGCAGAACCATGTATATTAAGTTGAAAAGCCTTGACTATGTCAATGGTGGTGCCTGAGCTGCCTCTTGTATTTAAAATGCCCAAGGCAAAAATCCCTAACACTAAACTCCCTAGTGGACAGGCCAGGAAAAGATAGCTGAGACCCAGCAGTTATTTCTGGGTATTGTTCATTCTACCTGCTGATGGGTAGAATCCAAACAATCCACCTAGCTTTCCACGCCCCATCCCCAGCACTGGGGAAGAGTCACAATTATAGGCAAAGATGGAAAGGAAACACAAAGTTAATTACGGGTTATTTGTTTAATCAGAGGCTCCACCACTGCAGGATCTAATCCCTGCTGAGGGGCCCAGAAGCGAGCAGCACAAGTTATATTCACATAGCTCCTCAAAGGCTTCCAATGGGGACTGTAAGAAAGTGCTAGAAATGTCCAAGGGCCCACAGCTGCTTGCCAATAGCTCAGCCTCTCGGGACGAAGCAAAGGAAAAAGCTGTTACAGCTGCCACATTCTGCCCCACCTCTATCATGTCCTTCTCTCTGCTCTCTTCCTCCAAAATGGTTTCACATGGCCCTAGTTCGAAACGACCCTGCAGGATACACAGCACAGGCAAACGGGCAAACTCCCCTGCTCTGTAGCCTCCAGCCCAGAAAGCCTGCAAGCTGGCGAACTGCTTGTGAGACCCTGAAGGGCAAGAGGAGGTCAGAGGTGGCCTGTTGAAGCAGCTCAGATTGGCAGGGTCTTCCTTTGGTCTCGCATTCAGGATGGACTGAGAGTAGCTATTCCCAGCATGGATCAGGAGAGAGGACTTGCCTCGAAGACTGAGTTGCGGCAGGGCTGGACAGATGGGGATAAGACTGTTGCCATCCTTCCGAAGAAAAAGGTTGAAAACCAGAAGAAGGTGAGGATAACCTCATGGGACCTGCTAGTACAAGTGTACAGGCTGTTTGCTTGTCTGGTGACTTAGACACACATGCTTCCTGGAACTGCACCCACTGTGACCTACAGTTAAATGATCTCAAAGGAAAAGGCTGTGTGGGGGTAGCAGTTAATGTTTGGGGTGAGTGGTGAATTTTCTGTTCATTTGTTCAGCAGAGACTGCAGAAAGCTGTTCAGCAAAATCAGGTGTGTTCACCTTCAGCTTCCTTCTCCCCACACCTCCCCAAGCCAGGGACCGGCATTTAATCACACGCTTCGTTTGCAGGTGTCACTGTTGAACTGTACCTGGTGCACGAACCTGGATCCGTCCTGCTCTGTCATCTCCTGCTTAGACTTTTGTGGTAGACTCTTTGGGGGAAAAATTACACTTTTCTTGTCATTATTTTGGAAGCCTCACATGTGTATTGTAGAATTTTAGGGGGGAGAAAAGACAGACTCCAACCCATAATCCTACCACCCAAGACAAACATTATAATCCTTTGGAAGTATAGTTTGGCTCTTTTTGGGTCAAATGTACACATACACAGTTTGCTTTTAATGAAAAGATCACACAGTATACCTATATATACTCTTGAATAACTTACTTTCCAAAATGTGTGTTTATATTTTAGAATATATAATACATACACAGACACAAAACTTTAAAAATACAAAAATCTCTATAGTAAGAAGTAAATCTCCCTCCCTCCCCATCTGCCAGCACCTGGTGTCCCTCCCATTACCCATGTACCCTTCCAGCGACACTGAAGCATTTTCAAACACATGTATATATTCTTTTGTTACGCACAAATGGTAGCGTGTGGACACGGTTTTTTGCGCCTTGTGCTACTTCACTTACTATACCATGAACGTAACCTTTTTTTGCATGCCTCTCCAACTTTTCCAACAGCTTCCCCATCACACAGATGGGTCCTCACTTGGTAACCAGTCTCTCATGGTGATTGTGTCCTTTGTTCCCAATCTTCATTGTAAATAAGATTGCAACAGACATTCTTGTTGCTACATTCTGCACATATCTATAACTAGTTCCTTAGGATAAAAAAAGAAATCCAAGGAAGAAATTGCTTGGCCTCCTTAAAGAATTTTGATATATGTTGCCAACTGCCCTCCAGAAAGTTCGAACCAAAGCACTCTCCTGTCTGCAGTCTCCAGAGCTCCCGGTTTTCTGCACCCTCACTAAGGATGGGGATTAGCGCCTGTCAGATCTTCTCCACGTTGACAGGAAAACAACAGGATGTCAATGTTATTTGAACTTGCATTTCTTTGATTATTACTGATTAACGTCTTCCCATGCTTGTCAATCATTTGTACTTCTTCCTTTGTGAATGTTCTATTTATTTGATTTTGTATGTTGACCTTTATTATCGACATGTAATTTTATGAAGAATATTATTTTTGTCAAGAAACACTACGAATAAGCTTTCCAAGTGCTTTGCTTCCTAATTTTGTTTATGGTGCTTTTTTGACATACATAAATTCGTAATTCCGCAATTAATTTGTTCCTCTGTTGCCAGCTTCTTCCGCCTACAGCTCCCTCCCCTGTTTCTGCCAGTGCCCCTTCTAAACCACCATCGATTATGTCGCTCCATGGCCTAAAAATCTGTAGTGGCTTCTCATCACTTTAAAAGCCAAACTCCTTAGCATAACATGCAAAGTCTTTCATGTGATTTTTCCCACTGACTCTCCCAGGCTCACCTGCTGGTCTTCTCTACTACCCTGCATTCCATTGCTGCACAGCTTCCTTTCACTCCCTGCGCCCACTGTTCTGGGTTTCTGGGCCTTCCCATGCTGTTCCCCCTGCCTAGCTGCCCATGCCTTACTCCTCCAACTCCCTCGTTGCCTTGTCAATTCCTTTAGAACTTTAAGCATCACAACTTGAAAGCCTTCCCTGACCCCTTAGTCTACACTTCTAACATGAGCCTACCTCTGGCTAGCATTTGCTACAGTGAAGTGCAATTTCCTATTTACGCTTGTCTCCCTCACTCTCTGGACATTCAAGGCTGCACTGTGGTTTACTCATTTTTGCAGCCAGAATGTCTAGCACAATGCCTGCACATAGCAAGTGCTGGATAAATGTTGAGCCCTGAGCCTGGAATGAATGAATAATGGTTTCAGTGGCAAATGTTACTTGAGGTAAATGCAGGGCTGGACTAGATCTGTGCTTCTGAGAACTGAAGAAATCCTAGGAGACTTGGGTTATAAGAGAAGCCATGTGCTCCACTGCTGTGCTTTGCAAAACATCAGAATCATTTAAAGTAGCTACTTAAAAATGCATAATCTCATGCTCTGATTTACACCCACTGAATCAGACTCACAGGGAATAATGCTCAAGATACTATAATTTGGTGTGTGTTTTTTTTGGTGGTTTGTTTTTTTTTTAAGTCCTGAAGTGTTGCTGATGACCAGCCAGGTTAAAAAGCTGCTGGTGAGCTAGACCAGCAGATAAATCAGAGCCCCCAGCTCCACTGTTTCAAACCATGTGGTCTTTGGAGTGGATGAAAGGAACTTTATTCGAATACCAGCTTTGACATTTACTGGCTGCATGACCTTGGAGCAGTTTTGACTTTTCAGATCCTCGTTAGCCTCACTTAAACATGAGGTCAATTTTATATTTCCCTTAAAAGGATGTCGGGTGGATTAAGAAATGCCTGCCTCCTAGCTCAGTGCCTAGCACAGAGTCAACATGAAATAAACCTCACTCCTCTTCCCCCATCCTTGGCCTCTGTTTCCTCATTTACACTGTGGCTACTGGTACCTGCCTGTTAGTCTCCCATAGTCCCACACTGAAATCTAGAAGGAGGAGAGCTTCCAGCAGGCCCTTGGACTGCTCTGATCAAACAGCACTGCTACTTGGGTGACATGGTGGGCAGAGGAAGCCCCTGTTCCACAGCGTGCTCTCTCCAAGCATATCGGGGTTTATAGCAATCAGGTGGAATAATTCTGATGCTTTTCAGAACCAGTTGTCTTTTAGCCACACCCCAAAATCAACACAGTTTTCCTCCTTGGGTTCTGCCCAGAGGCCAGTGGCTTTTGAGCTTCAAAGTGAAGGCGACTGTCAGAAAAGAGTACAGTCCTTACCTGCTCACCTTCTAATGCCTGGGGATCCTCATCCCACCATTCAGGGTTAGAAAGGCAAGACTGGATGTGAGGTCAAAACAGCTCATCTGCAGCCACTTTAATTAAGATGCTTTCCACTCCCAGTGTCTACATGCTCCCCCTCCCCAACTTCAGCCCCGGGCCAGCAGCAGAGACTGGGAAAATGCAGTCAGTCCCTCAGGCCTGACAGAGTTCAAATTACCAAGTCAGCATGAAAAGTCCCACTCTAAATGGACTGAAATTGGATTCTATTAAAAACCGCACTCACTGAGGCCCTTGGCTATTAATATTTGCTGAGACATGGAGGACAGGGAGGAGGCAGAGGCCCCTGCAAAATGTTGGAGATTGCAGCTGTTCTGTTGAATTGCTTTTCTGGAAGCGAGCCTACATTGAAAAGCTAGATTTGCCACTTTCAACAGTTCACAGACTATTAGGGCTGGAAGGAATCCTACAGCTCTCTGATCTTATAGATGAGGGCTGAAGTTCAGAGAAGGTAAGTGACTTATTCAAGGTCACATAGCTAGGAAATAACAAAGCCCAGAACTGGAACTCATATTGCTTTTCTGACAACAAACTTAATACTCCATCCACTGAACTAACACACACTTACAAAGCACTTGTCTCTCTTTTTTTAATATAATGCTGTAAAAATTATTCTCTTCCAAAGAAATGTTAACTAAAAATAAAGACCAAAGTAAGAAGCAACCACATTCATTTGAGATCAGAAAAGAATAGCTATTCAGGAAGCACTGATTCAGACAGAAACCCAAACTCAGATTTGGGCAGAAACCCAAATCCAAACTCCTTGGATTAGGAGACAAAGGCAAGGGTTATGCATGAGAAAGGGAAGATTACATCTGTTGAAGGAAGGCATTTTTATTGGTTCAGATAAGCTTACATAGTGATGTAAATTCAAAACAATGTTTTTAATTTTCAGTACAGTTGTCATCAGTCCAGGAGTCATATCTGCTTTCTTGTTTTCCTTGCAAACAGTTCTGTGGAACACAATGTTGCCTTAGGTCCAATCCAAAGGTTATTTTGCTGTTTTAACATGCCAAAGG